CTGTAGTTCGCTCCATGGCCGGTAGCGACAGTGTTTTTAATTGACCCCTCCTAATATAGAAGCGCAAAGAGGGCACACCGTGTGGTTTTAGTCGGTTCGAGTCCGACACACCGCCCCGCCGAATAGAGAACACCGGCGGGGTGACGATCCGAGGGGATTTCCACACTTAAAAAAAAAAAATACATCGTTTGCTCTCCGAAACGGAAAAAGAAGCCAGTGTGGAATGGTGCCGTGAGTTGCGTCTACAAACAAACCCACAGCCACAGCAACTCTTTTTAATTAAAAGATAGCACCATTAAAAATACCACAGCAGTGTTTTGATGTAAGCCAGTATGTCAGTTATTAAGGACTGAAAGGTAAAAAGGCAATTAAGAGAAAAGCAAAGATTATGAAAAAAGTTGGAATAGAAATGAAAGTGACGAAAACATAAAAAAAACGGCAGAAATAAATAAAAAATACACTATCCCACACTACATTTCCACTTAAGAAATAGCCTGTGCTAAATTAATCCCAAGGATACATACATAATTTATGTTTTATTGCGTATTTAAATTTGTTTGTACTTAAGTTTTTATATTATTTGGGATTTTATTATAAAATCGGACACGTTGACCTCGAAATGACTTTTTTATCTTTTGGAGCCTAGAGGCAGGTACAACAAGTTTATTCCTATTTCTGGTATTTATAGAATGTAAAGAACACACACTTCTTATCGAAAAGCTTGCATATGCTGCTGAGCTGAGTCTACTTCAAAATTTATCTTCGAAAGAAACTTCGTTCCGACCGGGGTTCCATAGACCCCTCATGCCATTTTTTTTAGATACGCACGGTACATAATTGGAGTGAACTGATTAGCCTTTATATTAAAATAAGTATGGATTTTAGATGGCGAGAGTTACCCGGAACACTAGTTATTTGAGACTCATGTTACTGTCGAATTAGGAGAATTCGAATTATTTTAAAACCTTTTCCATAAGTTATTTTGGTGTCGGTAAATGAGGTTTCATCTTCCATTCTCCTTGATCACTCGATATCCTCTTTTACACGCTTCTTTATTTCATTACAAAATGGTTACCGCGTTACTATCGAATAAAATACGAAAAACAAATTTTGATTCTTATACATAAAAAGAGTGTTGTAATTTAAATCTAGCAGTCTCTCTATAGTGTTATTCCGATACCTGAAACAAAAAATGTACTTTGTCTTTGTAAGAAACAACACTTTTTCTTTAAAAGGATCTCTGAAGGAATAAGGTGTCATGGGTAGTTTACGAATATAAAACTTGTCTTGTCAGACCTTGACTATATGTATATGTTAGTCTTATCGGCCATGATATTGAACCCACTTGAACAACACAAGGGAGGATGGTTACGAAACAGGTTTATATTGAATATGTGAACTAATTTCTAAATCAAGAACAATCAAGCAATCACATGACGCGAACCATGTGATTTTACATGTAGTGTAAAGCTGGAGGCCGAAAGTTGAGTAACAATGACGCGCACTGTCTACCAATTTACAGTGATCTCTACGATCAGAAATATAATGGGTATATATTTCTGATTGTAGAGATCAAATTGCAAATTAGATGCGATGTTGACTGTAGTAAAACAAATATTTTGTATTTTTACAGCAACTTTTGGCAACGTTATTTTATCCATACTTATATTATAAATGTGAAAGTGACGCTTTCACGCCTAAACCGTTAAACTGATTTTACAAAGTCTTTCACCAATGGAAAGCTACATTATTAGCGAGTAACATGGGCTATTTTTTACCGCGATGTACACGCTGACCTAGCCCCGGGAAAAGGCTGGTACAATATAAAAACAAGATTAAACAATGTACATAGATGTGCTTGTGTGTAAACTATACTCATATATGAAAAAAAAAACATTTAAACCGTTTTTTTATTAGAACTAGGTGGTGACACTCCTTGTTCTTAATCCGTCAACACACGGTTATTATGTAACAATATAAATCTTTTTGACATATACATATATATATAAAAATTAAATACTGCAAGTTTTGCTTGCTTTGTCTGTTACGTTAACAAATTCTTCATATATATTATATCATAAGGGTTGCATACGTCTTGTAAATACTTTTTGTCATATTTTAGTGTCTACGTTTTGTGTTTTTGTTAAGTGGTAAAGACTAAAGAACAGAAAATGATATATTTTAGACTAACATACAGTAAGCAATATTCTCATGGCACAATAAAGATTATTGTATTCTACTAATTTTAATGTCATTTTCATATTTTTTTAAGGAGACCGCACAAGTTGACCTAAAATTTATCCACTAGGACATGGACAGGAATTGAACTGAATAATATAAATTAACCTCTATATTATTGTAGTGAAAGCCATAATCATAAAGTGACATCCTGTGGTGTCGATTTACTATAATAGGCTACTTTTACTTACAGAAAATGTTCTACTCCATTCAATATTATTTGCCGCGTATTTGCAAATTTATTTGTTACAAAGCAACGAAAATCGGACGGACATGTACTTGGAATAGATATCATTTAATATTTCATTGTACTTTAGCGCCCGCTTCTGTTTTGCATGCCTAGTAGTGTGTATTCTGCCTACATGTTTTCCTATCGACAGGACAGGACAGCATTATTTTGTTGCGTTGAATTTATTTTTCGCAGAAAGATCCCAGGCTGCCCGACGTTTTGAATAATTATTTTCATATTTAAACCAATAAAAGCAAAACCCTTAACAGATTATACAGCTAAACCTACCTTAGGAATCACTTTGTTTGTTAGTGAAAACCTCATTAAGATCCGGTCGTTAATTTTTCAAGTATTACGAACGGATAGATAAACCGACTCAGCAGGGGACTTTGTTCTATAATATCTACTTATTCCATATCACTACCGATATTACATCGTAAGCATCTAGTTTTCTAGAAACAAAAATTTGAATTTGATTTGACAAAAGGGGAAAAAATCTTTTTTGTATAACTAATAGCATTAAACTCAAAAACTATACACTATTTCATAGACCCTTTAGAAATACAAGTAATAAGCCTTTAATATGCTTCGTAAATACCTGTAGTTAATCAGGTCAATTTCGTCATTTCAGTTTTTAAATTTTTACTCAATTTTACTTTCTTTTTTTTTTTCGCTTTTGAAATGAGTCACATCACATCAGCAGCCTTTAATAGTCCACTGCTGGACATAGGCCTCTCCTTAGAAAGGAGGTTTTGGCCTACTAAATGAGTAAATTAATTAATTTTAAATTTTTATTTCTAGAAAACTTTGTGGTATTTTCAAACAGGAGTTTTACTAAACATTTGTGACATCATGTTTGATTTTAAAGTCTCTTAACAGATGACTTAGATTGAGAGCTCAATAAACAACAAACAAAATGTACACTACTAAGTACAAAAACCGCTGTTTAAAAAAATGTAGACTATATACCTGACCTATCCTCAAGCGTATTTTAAGAAGGAATGGAGCAAAATAAAGTTGTTTGACTTTTTGTGCTACTATTTATAATGCTGATTTGAAAACATTTAACAGATACTTGACCTCCAACAAATTATCGCTTATGGTCAAAACCTTAAGCGTAAAAGTATATTTTCATGAAATAAATTTTTAAATTACGAGCTAGTCAGAGACCGCAGGTGGTACAATTCAGTCATAAGTCTGAATATGGAATAATATTAGTAAATATGGTAACATATTGGCCATACCTCTACAAATATAGACAACGTAAGATCACATTTAAAATAACTGGTGCAATAAACGGTGGTGCATATGCTTGCAGTTTGTACTTTACATTTCGTTGTTCCTTTTCTTTTCCTATCAAGTAAAGGAGTATTTTTTTCTTTTGACATTCCTTAAAACCAAAGCTCGACCATAATTCAATGACAACTGCCTTGTAGCTAAAAGCTTCAGCGGGAAGCCTATTGAGCTTGACCTGACGCTCAAAAACCAAAAATTCTTCCAGGTGAGAAGAACTCATATAAATTTTCAAGCTCGCCTTGAAGTTAAGAAGCTTCTCAATAACAACCAATATGGTTTCGTAGAGAAGACTCGACTTAGCGAGCCCCAAATGGACAAGAAAAGGCCATTTATACCTTTATTAAGTTATTACTTAAGACTTTAAATTGGGTATATGGCTCTTTGAAGTAAGTTTCCAGCGTTTGGTTGGTATGCACCAATCCACCTATGTGGACTTACATACCTGGATTTCTGGTTTCTTGAGGCAACGAGTGATTGGAGTTATCTCAGAAGGCTGCTGTTCAGATCTTATGGCAATTAATTACATCCCAACAACAGCCTTTAATAGTCCACTGCTGGACATATGCCTCTCATTAGGAAGAGGTTTCGTCCTACCATACCACGCTGGTTGGTATAGGGGTTGTGTCAAGTTTGCCTTCTCTTTGCAATGTACTATGTAGGCTGCTCTTTTAGTCAGGTCTTACGACACTCACGGGGAGAATAGGGATGGTAACATTTCATATTCTTAATCCGTCACACATACATCTACAATTAATGCCGTAGCATTAATTGCCATTAGATCGGCAAAACAACCAGGTCATAGAAACTCAGGGATTTCTTTTCTCTGTAATCCTATTCCTGTTGCAATAATAATGATCTTTGCTAATTTACGTTAAAGTATAGTCTTCGAGAGAGTCCATGGTTGAACTGGTGTATATCTTATTGCAGAAGGTGTGGAATAGGAATGACACTAATCATGGCGGTTTTTAAAATTCAAATTCACAGGCAGAACAGATAAAAATGTTTTCATATAAACTAAATAAATGAAATAATGTTTTGTCTGCTTCCTTAATCCAGAAATAATTTATTAAATTGTATTATTTGGCCGTGTTTTCATTATACCTGTTCTTAAACACTAGCGTTTAGTTTATATTCGTTTATCGTATTACCACAACGGGTGCTAACTCGTTGTAAATAATTAACAATGTCAAAAATAACTGTGTTAATTTGTATCTGTGTAGGTTTTTTATCCACTTACTTTTATACGTATCGCCTGGCACAAATAACGTTGAGAACTGTTGCTTGATAATATAAGAACACAACTAATAAGAATACGAGCACTGGACTATCTATATTTCTCAGCTAATCTGATATTCCTCTCCGTACGGACAGATTAAAGTGGCCGTTATTCAGTTTGACAGGTTATACATCAATGTATATTTTGAATCCGTATAACTTTGAAGGTTGCCGTATTGTATATGTTTAATAGTCTACGACTTTGTTTATATGTTGAATATATGCCTGCAATCCCACTAATTGGTATTAAAAGGTATTAATGGGCTGTACAAAATTTGAAATTAACAAAAGTCGACAAACATTCAAGCTTGCGAGTCAAGTTAACTAAAGGATATCGCAATATGTCTCACACATACATATATTTGGATAATACAGAATTTACTTGCTGTCTGCAAATTTTTCATTGACCTTGAGATCGCGGACTACATTTGCAAATTTTTTGAAGAAGGAAAGAGTTGGAGCATTGACCATGATGTAGCTATGTACGGTGAAACATTATTACTGCAAACTTTATCCGTTATAGTAATGTTTGTTGCTCAATCTTTTCAGAGTAAAGTACAATATTTACCTTATCTATGAATGTTACTGATCTACTACACTTACTTTTGTCATATTATGCCTCTGTAATAAGGCACTTACCCAAACATCTAATCCTTTGCCGTGTCTATAAATCGATATTGTGTTATGCGTATGTCACACCTGTGAATTCTGAGGTTTTTGCTGTTGAATGGTTTTTTTTTTTGCAATTATTTCTATTCTCATCGTAATTACTAGTTACTTAAGGTATATCTGCCTTATTTCCTTATAAATATTTGTTGTATTATTAACAATCATTTTATAAAAAATCTCATCGATTTAAATTAAACATTTGTAAAAAAATATTTATTTATTCATTAATTTATTTAATTGCTTTATGCATAATGTGTATAGAGGCGGACTCAAAACTACTATTTTAAATTATTAAAATCATTTAACAAAATCTAAGGTGCATTAGTTAACCATCAAACGATGGTAAAATACAAGAAGAAACCTGTTATATGTAACTTAAATTATTGGTCTGTATCACATATACAATATTCTTTACAGAAAGTCACCAAGACAATTCTGTTAAAATTACAATTAAATACATATCATAATTTCAACTAAGCAATTTTCTACTACTCAACAAGTACTCGTATGCTACTATCAATGTCATTTTTAAGTGTTGTTTAATAATATATTACGTTGTAATTGATTTTCTTACTTGGTAATTATAAACGAGATTCTGCAGTTGGAGATAAGGTAATGGTGATATTTTATGATTATGAAACCAAATGTTAAAAACGTTTTAAAAAAACGAATAAAGTTTTTTTTAAACAAATGCAATTCTTTTAACTTACTTCTCTAGACATGTTTACTATAACTTTTTTTTTCTCAAAATGGTGATTTTTAAACATTACCTTTTAGGCGATGAGTTTTGCGTTTGTATGGAATGTGTAATGTGTAACGGTAAAACCGAGCCGTGTAAGTATCTGGTTTTATGATGGTGAAAGGGGTTAGGGGAATCTTGTTGTTGCACAAATCTTTCTTCTAAGTGCATGTAAAAGAGTAACTGTACTTATTAGCTGGGCATATGATTATACAAATTCAAAGTGAGGAAGGTTCTATTCAATAGCCAGTGACTCCGTCACTCAGCGCTTATAGCAGTTAGACAGTGATGAATCTTTGTCTGGAATAAAATTTGTAATTTGTGACAATAATTCACTTAAAAAAAATCAGTATCAGCGAATTCAATGTTCTTCACCAGTCAGTTTGAGTACAACGATTGTAATACAATTTATTTTATTTTATTTAATTAGGAATTGCTTTACTTACTAATTACTCGAGAGAAAGCCCTTTTTTCATCTTATACATTAAGAAAAAAAAACAAGATATAAAAAAGGAATAAAGGATCAATTATTGAAGGATTTATTTTAAATGTTAACAATTAAAAACAAGTAATGAATAGTAATCTCACACCTTTTTTTTTTTTTTTTTCCGTGCGGAAATCCCCTCGGATACCACCTGTCGGTGGCATGTCGGACTCGAACCGACTAAAACCGCACGGTACCGGTACTAATAGCCGGGGAACCAGGTATACCCTAGAAAGGAAGTCCCTGGTGCCCCGACATACCTCGGGTCATCTACAGACGAGTAGACGACTCCCCCGTGTGGGAACCCCATGTTCCCTGTGCTCCCTGGAGCGCGCTTCGCAACGCGCTCGCCGCCACCCCGGCCTGCTTCTGCTAGGGTCACAGATGGCCTCACCTGTCACCCCCAGGCCTGCGCTTATGGAGGACGGAGGTCGTTCTGCGACCTCCGGCGCCTGAGTCGCCTGCGGTGCCTGGCCCGTTCCCGGGCCTGGCGGGCCGGGAGAGTCCTAAACCTCTCCCGGTCCCGCTCCGCCGTCTCCTTCGCGAGCATAATTTGCTCGCAGAAGGAGACGGCAGTGTTCCACGCACTCTCGCTCCGCACGATAGCCGCAATCAGGCTATCGAGCGAGAGAACTCCCACTCCGATGGCCGCTACGAGGTCTCGCCTCTGCTGATCCCCGAAACATCCCTTCCCAGTGATCACCTGCGTCAATCGGTATGAGAGGGTCCCGTGACGCCTCTCGAGCCAATCCTCCATAACGGGTCTTACGGCCGCGAAGTAATCTCACACCTCACACATCCTACACACGGTCGTCTAATACCATACTAAGGAGAGCCTCTGCTATGCTAACCAAACTGCTGATAAACTTACATATATATTTCTGAATGATCGAAGCTAAATACATACATTTTATAGATAAATTACACCCAGCACAGAAAAAATGACACACACACAGTACTCGTCACACAATTATATTTGTCTGGGTCACTAATAACTATACCAACAGGGCAGTCCCTCGAAGTAATTGAATTCTAAATCTATACTAATATTATAAAGCTGAAGAGTTTGTTTGTTTGTTTGTTTGTTTGTTTGTTTGAACGCGCTAATCTCAGGTACTACTGGTCCGATTTGAAAAATTCTTTCAGTGTTAGATAGCCCATTTATCGAGGAAGGCTATAGGCTATATATCATCACGCTAAGACCAATAGGAGCGGATCACCAATGAAGAATGTTTCAAAAACGGAGAAAATTTATTACTATTGAGAGACGCAGACGAAGTTGCGCGGGTCAGCTAGTATAGAATAAATATTACTTTTTTATTTTTACAAGTTATAAAATAATTTTTTTAGCAGTTTTTGAAAAGGAACTCAAATAAATACGTATTCAATTCGTATTGTGGTGCCCGGAAAGTAATAGAAAACAAATAAATAATTGTGATGTGTGCCAAATAATTGTGACCAGAAATTATATTCAATTCATGTGGATTGACAAAACGTTTGTTTTCGGTTATTTCGGCACACAAGGGGTCAAATAAAATATCTGTACTAGAATGTGTGAAATCGTATTTTGTTCAAATAAGTTTTACAGTTCACTGATTTCTAAGAATAAACCTTATATATTTTAATCACTTTTCTGATATTCTTTTTATGACTGTTACTGATATTCTTACTAAAGTAAATTTCATTTATTTTTCAAAGGCCTTATTGTTATAACTAGCACTTGCCAAAAGCTAGTAACAAGAAAATTGATTAACAAACATAAGAGAAAATGAGTTTTAATTGCCTTTTACTTTAGATATATATCGGTTTAGAAATGTTTTTAATACATGTTAATAGATTCTATAAAACTGATGATATTATATGAGGAAAATTATATGGCATTCAGGCACTTTTGCACTTGAATAAGGGTTTTTGGCTGTATCGTTGAAGGTTATAAACTCCAATTTTAACACCAACTTCTACGAGTACGTCATTTATTTCATGCCAAGCCAAGTAATTGGGTCCGAACTAAAACTAACTACATAACTTTACCTTTATCTGAATAAGTTACATGTTTCGCAAACACTGTTAGATATGTTTCAAATATGCTTTATATACATTAAGTATTCTAGATCATTAAATTGTTAACATTTAAAATAAATCCTTCAATAATTACATTGTATTGTTGTTATTGTACATATGTATACGAGTATATATTATACTTAAAGCACAATACATTGTGGTTCTGCAATAATCTAATTCAATCAAGACAATACAATGCCAATGGTAAAAATGCTTAAACTATTTTTCCAAAAATGATTTAGTTTTGTCTAAACATGTGGATGTGAACCTTATAGTTATAATATGTATATCTATGTATAATTAGCGTCTATCAATATTCTTTACTTCATACGCACCATCTAATGAAATGGAATCCTTGTTTAGTAGACGTAAACTTAGTAATGAATTAATTATCATAGACTATGTTGTTGTACGTCTTCGAGACATGTTAAGTAGCCCATGTTTGTCCATTTAGAGGAGGAGGCAGAATTGTTCAAATGTGTAATTATTTTCATATTCGTATACAATTATTTGCTTCGGGAACGTTTCTTATATTTTCAATTTAGAAGAGTTTAAGATAAAAAAACGTCGTCGTATCTTAGACTATTCGTCCTTCATTAACCGATATGAAACAGATATTGATTTATTGAAACGGCTAAGCTACGGTGGTCACTGTCATGTCAACTGTCAGTATTGGCAGCCACTACAGATTTTGTATCGATCTAGTATATATCTAATCATTGTTGTAAAATCTCTACGTTTAATACAATAACTCACGCACATTTACGTAAATGATTAAAATACTGATATTTAGGTGTTTTGCAATATGAAAGTGAGTTATCTAATATGTACTAGGCCTATCAGTTTCTCACATGTAGGTATCTCATGCCTACATGTGAGAAACTGAATCCCAATAAAGTATTATATACTAATTTTGAGATTTTTATTTTCTTAATCAATCATAAAAGTCAATGACCCGGTACCAGTAATGGAGAAGGTAACGTTTGGTGGTTTTTAACTTTTCTTCGATTATAGTAAATTGTGAAAATTGTGTAAAATCAGAGTTTTATTTGTAAAGAAAAGAAACGTATGTGAAAGTAAGTATGTATATTAAATGTAGTTAATGGCAAACTAGGATTGCGTTTAATGCAACCAACAGAATTATTTATACATATGTAAATGAGTATTTCTTTATGATATACTACAATAATTATTATTATTATATAGCGGTCGAATTTCACACGTTTTGAATGTATTGTTTTACTTCACCGACGTTGTGAACTGTCTCTGTAGATAGATAGATAGATTTTGTGTAACCATTGTGACATAATGTTTAACTATAAAGCATAGTGTTTAATAATTTATTATTTGAACTTTTAGACTTTGACAACCCGTCTGGCCAATGTAGTACAGTAGGCCAAAACCTTCTTTTCTAAGGAGAGGCCTACGACCAGAAGTGGACCACTAAAGGCTGTTGATTGAATCTACAAACCCTCGTAATTTAGACTGCAAAAAAGTTAAGGGAAAAAGTAGAAGTAGCTTGATTGGAACTTCAAATAATAGTTAGATCAAATAATAAAACCTAACTTAATTATTTAAAAATTAAAAACTTAAAAAAAAGGAATCTTTTCATATTGTTCAAATATATGTTTAAAAATTATGACATTTGTTACTTTGTACCACAGCGACACTGTTGTAAAAGTGAGGCACCTGGCCTTTTATTATACTAATATTATTATTAATCTTATAAGTTTAATAGGTATTAGATACCTATACCTATATTTATTCTTTACTAACAGACCTGCCAGTGAGATATAAATGTCATCTATTAAGAGCACTTTCTATTACAATTATTTTTTCCCTAAATACCTACCACATTGTTATTAGCATTGTGTCAAACTTGTCGAGCTATTCTTAAGCGATGACCTTAGAAACGCGTCCACTGCTTTTAATTAATTTTATGCACCTACCTTTTAGGTTCTTCTGGATTGAAGGTACAACAAACAGATTTAATAAAAAAATGTTTTCTCACAGTGAACTGACAACATTTAATCCACGACTCAGGTTGGTAATCTCTGATTGTCACGATCTTTCATATTTATGACAAATGGATCACATGAGCTGCAGGTGTTTTGTCACTTCGTAGATAAATGTCCAAGTATGTATGTGTGACTTTTTGTTGATTTACGGTTCTACATTGTTTATGACGACATTACATAACTTGACAAGAAGCGACTCAATAATACGAGTATATATACTTGACTAGAGACACTAACTATTAGTTAATTTTTGCGACGATCAGCCATTCAGATTTGCGGTTTAGGTAAAAGGTTGATCATCATCATCATCTTGCCCATTTTTTAGAATGTATATTAAGAAAAATTAGGATGGAAAGAAGGGACTGACCCACTGGGATTGGAACATCATATTGCTATTGTAAGTAAGATATTCAAGGCAATTGATATCTTACAATAGAAAGAAGGTTCTCTACGAAACTGATAACTTATTAAAATAAAGCAAAGGTTTGCACTTGCAATTTTGATAACTCAATGTGGTAATATAGAACGTTAGTTTGTAACTTGTCAGTTTTTAAAAATATATGTTTTTTACTGAACAGTTGCCTCCTACATAGGTTATGTACACGGCTTAGGTATAGTAAATAAATAAAATAATAAATCACAAGTAGCATAGCAGATTTAGCACTCTAAAAATATTAAATAGAGTAGCACACATATAAAAAAGATTTACACATCGATCTAAATGTAGTATGTAGTTTGTGTATCCTTTGTGAAGTGTTTGAGAATCATTTAGTATCTAAAATAAAATATTGAAATAATTATCACCTCATTTATAACACTAAAGAACTTTATTTGTATCTTTATTTATTATAACGCTGAAGATATACGGATAAAATTAGCAGCTTATGATAGTTATATGTACGTACAACGAATGTAAAAGACTGCATGTATGAATTGCTCAGTTATATGAACGAAAATAATAATTAAATAGGTACGAACCGCAGTTGCAGATCGTGAAGTCCTTCCAGGGTCCCCTGTTGCCTTGAGATGTAGTTTTACAGCCTCCACACCGGATCTCTTAGCACGCGCGTGTGATTTTCCTTGAGTATCGCCACTGTGAGCCGTTCCAGTTGTCCTATCCCGCTTGCTGCCACGGGATATTTCTTGCGTACCTTTTTTGTCTTGTGTTTTTCTTTGGGAGACTGATTTCACCCGACGATCGCGAGTCTTCATTTTACAAAGTTTTCACTCACACATTGATCTGTACCTTGAGTAGTTAGAACACGAATTCGATAGGAAGTTGAATTGGAGATAAGATATCTACGTCGAAGTTGAAAGAACTTTGATAAAAAAACAAGACAAACTAGCTACCTCGCTCTGATACGTGACAGAAAAGGCTCTTTATGCAGGCACGTCCATGTGATCACGTAAGACCCTTGAACTGGTACAGTTGCACGGCCGCATTGTTCAGATTGCAAGAGGTCGTTTGTTTCAGTATTTACATGACTGTAGTTTGAGGGAGCGAGTGGCATGTACGGGCGTGCGCCAGGATTTCCTCCGACTAGTGCGCCGCGGGCGCGAGAGCGGCCTCTCCTGCACAACTTGTTTGATCTCCACTTGTTAATTAAGGGATCTTCTCGTTCAACACTCGATACGATGTTATCTCAGAATCATTAACCTTAATACATATACCACTAATGGAAATGACTTACAATTAAATAGATGTAGACACTCACAAATTGTTGTTACCTTATAAGTAGGTACGTCTGTCGATTTTTTTTTTCTATAGAAGAGTTTCAGCGATTATGCAAAAATAAATGGCAAATAAAGCTGTGTAAACATATCATTGATACATATAAAACTGAATAAATCCATCACTGTACATATCTAAACTACACACACATATTTAGTTTATAAACAATTATATTTTCGTTTCTTATATTTACATCAGTACCAAAAGAAAAGGAAAAACTTGCCGCACTACAATTAGTAAATTTTTATTATAAAAAAATTACATATTGTTGAAACTGCCCTCTAAAAGAAGTCACCTGCAACACAATGTTTCGAGTCAACGAATTACATTTTTCTTGTATAGTCACACCGTGTCCATTGTCATTACCTTCTGAAGCGACAGATGTCGCTGTTTAAACAACAATCCGAATACAAATGCAAATTTGTAAAAATTCTACTTAGTCACTGAACTTACCGCTAGATGGCAATTCGCTAAAAATAATTGTCCATACACATTGTACGTTTAAATATATTGCGATGACTTTTATTTGCCGATTATAATAAGTGATTAAGGCATCCCTAGAAAAGAAATAAAGAAAAATAAATAGTTTTATTGAAAAAAACAAAAATTAATCGCTGTAGGTATTACACCTACAGCGATTAATTTTTCGGGACTTTAAAGGCAGGCTTTTTAAAACATTGGTAATGTGGGCAATTTCATATTTTAAATATTTAGTTCTTGAATTTAGTTGTTGGCGCTCCTTAGGGGAAGCCTTCGTTCAGCAGTGGACGTCAATAGGCTGATGGTGATGATGATAGTTCTTTCCTAAAAATCGGAGAACAATAGAAGTTTTTATCTAAGCTAATCTCCGAAAGTGTCGAACCAATTTTGTCAGGTATTTGTGTGTTTAAGAAATCAAAAGCTAGGAATCAGCAACCGATTCATCTCTGTATCACAATATAAACCTAAAAATAATTCTCAGATTGTGGTGTCACTCGATACAATTAATGGCCTCCAAGTTTCCATAGCTGTTAGCTTCTCCATTACAAAATATAAATCCCAAGGCTAAACATTAGGGGTAAATGATGCTTCTAACATCTTTGCCCTAGCATAACATCGTTTGTATACAAGTAGTATAATAAATGTCTAAGCCCATGGGGGTACGCGTGTTTGTTATCTAGGCCAAGGCACTCTGGCTACCTTTTCGAGTACTTCATTTTTCAAATTTCTCCGACTCAGAATCGGATAAATCCTTTGAAATGAAAGCCTTTATACGCCTTAAGGGCCCATATCCTTATTATTATTTGATTATTATTATTGATTAGTATTTGATTTAGATTCTTAAATGATGTACTATATTTTAACTCAATATTTTTTTTCACGGCATTGGAGGACAAATGAGCCGATAGGTCACCTGATGGTAAGTGACTAACGCCGCCGTGGACACCTACAACTCAAGAGTCACAAGCCTCTCAAAATCAGTGGGATGGGTGTTTGGCTCTGGTAACCTCACTCAGTCGGTAAAAAGACATGAAAGAATTGCTTTATAGCAGTTTTGTGCAGTGCTCATTAATATAAAACCTTAGTATGTAAACCCAATACCAATGTACGCAAAATGACTTCTTTAGAAGGATTCAGTCCCTGACTACCTGCCCAAATTTTGCGATTATTTGAGATCACAATCTATATGAGATCCTTTATGGGTTGCAATGATATCACCAAAACCAGTATTGACTGTTGAGACTAAAAAGCAGTCAAGACATTACTTAGATTAAAAAGGATCTATATAATTATGTATTTGTATTGTAACTATATAAAGTAATAGTAAAGGTATATAGTATACGTATACACGTATATACTGTATACCTTTACTATATACGTATATATTACATTCCTTTGAATTTGCCTGATATTAGTTGCACTGGCATAATTGACTTAATTCCCGAACAAATGTATAATTATAATTATGTACCATGGAATGATTGCAATTTATTTACTCACCAATCTTTTTCAACAAACAAATTAACGGATTTTGTCATGAAAGACAGAAATGATAATAATAAATACAAGTTAAGTAATAAAAAACTTATCATATTTTAAAATTATATTCTTGGAGCCAATGACTGAGTAAAAATGTATATTATCATCAGCCTATCACAGTCCACTGCTGGACATAGGCCTGTCCCATTGCACGCCACTTAGATCGATTTTGGGCTTCTCGCATCCAGCTCCTGCCAGCCATCTTGCGCAAATCGTTACTCCATCTGGTCTGTAAAAATGTATATGCATGCATAAAAAAAATACTAGAAAAATTTAATATTGTGGATTTCGTATTCCAAACTATTTTCAAGAGTATTTTTCAATAATTCTTAAACGGTATGAATAATTGCTCGACAAGCTATGAATACAATCTTGTTTTGAATGGAGACAGCGCTGGCAGATCTCGTATCTTACTAGAGATTTTATTAAATATTTGAATCTTAATAGGGTAACAATTGAGGGAATATCTTGTTTAAATATATGGTGGTAGAAGTCTAATATAATATGTGAAACACACTACTACAGTTATTGCATTCATATTTCAGTATTTAAATGAAAGTGAGTAAATTTAATAATCATCATCAGCCTATCGCAGTCCACTGCTGGACATAGGCCTCTCCCATTGCACGCCACTTAGATCGATTTATCTGGCAGGAGCTGGATCCGAGAAGCCCAAAATCGATCTAAATTTACTTACTTCACATATGACTAGTAACAAAAATATTCTGAAGTTTAGTTTGTTTAGTTTGTAGTATTTTTCATTTCTAAATTCTATAAATTTGGTTGTTGAAAATATTGGATATTTTTATGGTTTTAAAATATAGACAAAAAGTTGTTTTTTTTTTCATATTTTCTTTATTATCGGTAAGTACTTACAGAATAAAATCACAAATGGCCAGTAGTGGTAGTGATGCCAAGGGCTCAATAAGGTACCCAACACAGCATTCGCTAGATTTTGTCTTTACAAGACTTTTTTAAAATGAGTACAAGGAAAATTTGCAATTTATTAAGTGTTGTAACTAAGCTTAACTTAATGTAAATAAATGATACATTTAAAATTTCAATGGAATGAATGTTTCGGAATATTGCACAAAAAAATTTCTACCAGACGTACAGTAATCTTAGAAACTTAAGGCTTTACAAATTGATAGCTAAAACTATTTGACAAAGGATTTTTCCAATGAATTTAATAAGTAAATTTCTTATAATTAAGTACTGATATAATTTATTGTTACAGTTAATCACTTAACTAGATTAAAGGTATTTTTACAGCAAGGATACATAGATTATCAACTAATCAAGAATCGTTTTTAGATTTATTAGATTTAATCTTTTCGACGTATTACAATCTTACCTTTTAAAGTAATTACATTGTTGTGCTACTTAATACCAATTTATAATCTACGATTAAAGCATTTTGAGATAGTTTTGCATAATACTTACCTATAGTAAATTACAGGACTTATTAAAACTATTTACATTTGAGAACAAGTCGCTTTAGATATTCGTATAACTTACAACATTAAATATTATTATAAGATAAAAAAAACAAGTACGGGTTTTATAAACGTATGTAAAATATTTCGAATTCGTTTGTAGTACTCCCCTCTCTTTAAAAATTGTATATAAAATGTAAAAATTGTATGGTACCTAACAATAATTATAATATAATGTAAGTATACAGGTTATAATTTTTTGAGTATTTTTCAAAACGTGCTCCGCTTTGACACTGGTTGCAGTAATAAATATTTCAATAAAAATATTACATTATCATTAGTCTATCATTTCAAACCGCGTTATCTTCTTATAACATAAAAATCATCATAAAATTTGCTCGAATGTTGCCATTGCAAATAAACATCTACATTTCTTATAAATAAAAATTTTTAAGAAAAAAAATTATTTGCCAAAATCAGATTTCTGGATCTTGCTTTTGTCTTTCAGGTTTCAGGATCTAAAAAAGAAATATTGAAGTTACCAATCAATGTATGTATTGAAATTGTGTTCAATCGATAAGTGATGATTTAAAATGCATATCAATTTTACATTTTAAAATATTCGCTTGTCAATTGACGAAGACGCAAGACGCCATGACGTTATGACGAATTAATGACTTGGAGGTCTTCTTGGCCATTAATAACGATTGTTGGTGATATGCTAAGTGAATGCAATATCATTACAATTTTAAAGTATTTCATCCTATTGGTGATATGATATGATAAAACTATAATGAGTTAGCGTTTTAAGATACCGTAACTTGGCAGAACAAAGGTCAAGATTTGTGCCATTTTCTAGTCATGAAAGGGTTTATTTTTGAATAAAATAAACAGAAGTTTTAGATATTGACATGTAACAGATAAAAAATTAAAACTACAATGATTTTAATGGCTAATTTACTTTCTAAATGCCAGAGGTTCAAGTACAGACACAGTTCGTTACTATAAATTTAAAACTAACCTGAATGGCTACGTGAATCGTAAGAATTAACTTTGTAAATTAAAACAACCAAATGTTTTTGTTTTTCGACATATTAAATTACAAGTATATGAAGTGTATTACCACCACCTGTTCAGACCCGTTTCTATGTGGACGATTCAGCATTCGGTAACCCTGCCTACTGGCCGGAGATTCTTTTGCAATCTTCAGGACCGATGCATCTTTCGCGAGATACTCATAGTTGACTACTTGTCTTCTCCCTATTCTTTTGAACCAAGGGCAGAACTTGATAAATTATTATTGGTATGTCCTTTGCCCATTTCTTGTTTATCTATGTTCCAAAATTTATCCAAATAAATTAAGTATTTTATTCAAACTTTGATTTTTTAACCTTCAAGGATTATTTTAGAGATAAAAGTAGCCTATATCCTATCCCGTAGTAGCAACTCAAAATCTTTTAGTAATTTCGACGTGAAACGCGGTCAAGATACAGAAAATTTGTATTCACAAAAAAAAAAAAATTGACGTAGAAAATGGACCTATTACAGATTTATTAAGAGAATTAAATCACCTAGCGGTCATATATTGAAACTACTAACTACTAAATATGTACCTAATCTTATTTAGAAAAATTTAGTCCTTTTCCTTAGACTTTCTTTTCCAAAAATACTTAAAGACATTGCTAAACAGTTTTTGCACACGAGTATTAATTATAACCATGAATTTTAATTCGTATTCGATAAAAATCTCACAACTGAAAAATATGTCAATGACACGTCGATAGAAATCAATAATAAATATAACATGTTAATGACGTTTTAATATTACTTATGCCATTAGAAGATATTTACGTAACTCCGTACGTCCTAACGTTTTATGCAAAATGACAAAGATTTTTTGATTTACTAGCAATTTTTTTGTGTTCTCTTTTAAATACTGTTTAAATCGATTACTTACCGATGTCATATTTTTTTTGTTTTTCTGTTAATAAAAAGGGTCCTAAATGTTTTGTGAGTAGGAAACCAATAGGCGTCGTGACTAGTATGGCTTGAATGATAATCCAGATGAAGTGGTCGGCGTATTGCATTTCATTCTCGTCATAGTTACCGCGGGCTACTAATGCGTTGTATGCTACCGGACAAAGTACTGCCTGAAAATAAGTAATACAATTTGAATAAAAATACAATTTACATTTTGAATTTATTAGGTGTAGGCTTAAAACTGTGTCTAGGGCTTCTATAATACAGTGATACCTATGAACTCAATAAAATTCTTAGTTGGCTCGCCCAGGTGACGCATGTGAGCCAGAAGACGCCGTAATTCTCTAAATACTTGCTAACTTTCCTATCCTAAAACACTGTTTCAACAGTGTAACACGTAAATGGGATATGTATACATAGGTTAACGATAGCATATATGCTATCGTTAAACCATGCTATTATAATATAATTGATTTGAAAGGCGCAAATAAAGCACTCAATCGAAAAGAGTCTGCACAACTCCTGAATATTTTTAAAATACCTGTCTAACGATATCTCGTACTATGGAATACACGAAAATAAATATCCCCGTTTTACTCGTATATTTTATTTTACCACTTTGTGTTGGATATTTATGACCGTTGTTTCTATTACCAATAATATCTAAGTTAAACCGTGTACGGATAGATGGACAGGACATTGCGAAAACATAACGGTTTTTTGTTATGACTACTAATCTCTATAAAGAAGCTTGAACAGATCATAAGTAAAAACAATTTGATAATGACACAGAGAAGAAACAACTCCAACGTACAAAGAAGGCTTTGCTCTAGTATTTACAACTTTCTAGAGTTTACGGTTAGAAATCAAGTTTTGATAGCTTTGTTACGTCGACTTTTTATAGTTAATCTTTATATTTTTTATTTATGGAATAATGTGTAATCATATGTAACATCTACTGTTCTAACTTAATATTCTTACCTCGACAATAGATTTAGGTATCCAAGTACAACACACGAAGAATCGCTCTCGGATTGTCATTTTTGAACATACAAAAAAGGCAATGGTCAGCCTGACAACCACACATATACATAATATTCCCAAGCCAATAAGCATCACGTTCCATAAAGGCGCTTTTATCTGAAACAATATGTAAATGATTGAGATGCTACTAATAGTGGTTCATAGTTGCTGTAAAAAATACATTTAATATTGTTATCTTAGAAAATGCTCATTTAGTGATGCACTTCGCAAATTGTGACAGAACACTAGAAGGTTATCTTTGTCCAAAAATGTATTTGAAAAGGTAAGCCGTAATAAATACTTTGATATCATTAGTGCACCGTAGAAATACCTATCCAAAGCTAGATAGAACTATTGGTAATTGTCGCTCTAGTTTAGTCTGCTTATTTAGCATGGTTCAACTTTTATTAGGACGATATTTTTCTTAAAAGTCTGATATTGTATATTCGTAAAACAATCTTACAGAGTCTATTGTATATAAAATTCGTACCACGAAGAACGTTCCACTATAAGCAAATACTAGGGGCTCTAGAGTAGACCACATAACGCGATATGCAGTAGATGCAGGGTTTTTATTCAACTTCCAACCGTCTTTCTCCCAACAATTCGCTGCAGTAGAGTTACATGCTAATACTGCTACACCACCTAAAAATTAATTTTGAAAGTTACTAAACAAAGTAAAGCGGTTAATAATAAATAATAGTAGTGTGTAAAAGCTCCTTCGCCAGTGCTTTGTGTATTGTATGAAGAAATAGACCTAGTGTTTATTCCGTCTACTTATTCGTTAATTAAAATTTAACTATGTTAATAGGTTCAATTCCCGAGAGGCAGTACAAATTGCCTTTGAAGAGTTTGTTGCCTCCCGTCCAGCTGATTTTTACAAAAAGGGCATCAATAAACTGCCAATGCGTTGGCAAAGATGCGTCGATTGCATGGGTGATTACTTCGAATAACAGAAATAAAAAAGTTTGAAAAAATAAGTACTTTAACTTATTGCATACAAAACGGCAATTTCATAGGTAGACCTAATATTAATTACTATTTAGTATCTAGTAATTAATGACAGAGTTATTTATCTATTATAACAGCGGTTGTTCCTTTATTAAAATATTTAGTTGTTACCTACTACAAAGAAACCCAATTCGTGTATTTTTTAACTGATTATTATTATAATTGCATTATGAATACTGACTCATGTGATCTCGGGATCTCATACTTCATCAGATTTACAATATGTTAATAATGATATGACTTATCAATAGATCTTTATGTATGTTTATCAAATTTGCACATAGGTTCTCAATAAATAGCTATTATGTAGAGATCGCAAGCTAATTTTTTTTGTATACCAAATTCATATAATTGATCACATACATTTACAATCGTTGAGACACGCTCAGGTGACTGTTTATCTGTGCAAACAGCTTTATTTATCTGATCTAAACATTGATAGGTCGTTAGTATACTTAATGTTGCATGCACAAAATGATTTTCAAATACAATATTAGCTTTTGATATTGAATCACTGTACTGAAAGCCGGGTGTTATAAAACTCGAGAACGCATGAGAAATTTTAGCTGGATGCACGATACCTACGAGAAAATATTCAGTAGTCGAATTATAATAGTTATACTATTTTGCACATTAAATACATACATGTAAGTAATTAAATGGCGATGCAATTACAAGATTAATCTATCGTATGTTTAAAACTTTAAGGCATCGTAATCCTTACATTATTTTATTATTGTTTTTTTTTCTACAATTTATTTACCTATAAAAATGTCAAGATGGTTTGTGTATGCTTCAAAAACTCAAAAGTTTTGCATCGCTTGAGCTCCAATTTTGATGCGATATACGCCCTTCAAAGACTGTTCTATTGAGACTGATCTATTTTCGGGTCAGTTTTGTTTCTCACTTCTCATCAATACAACCACAATGCTCAACAGGGTACAGTTTTTTTTTTAATTTTATTTATTCAAGGGAAATTAAACAGAATATGGTAATAAAAGGGGCGATTTTTTTAGCTATAACAATTACTTATAAAATATGCGGCGGGTACCTAAAATGTGTTATAAATATTTATTTTCAAAATGGAACATATTTAGCTACTATTAAGCAAGTGGCTAAATAATTTGAAAATTGCCCGACTTTTCTTTCTCAAGTTACGAGGACTATTCAAAAATAGCAATGCGATTACCAAGGAGCACCATCTTTATCTATGTAAACCTGTTTTTTTAAACTTATTTTCATTAAAAAACTCTCCAAGGCATCATCATCATCCTTTAATAGTCCACTGCTGGACATAGGCCTCTCTTTAGAAAGGAGGTTTTGGCCTACTATACCACGCTGGCCAGACGGTTTGGTATAGGGTTTGTGTCAAGTTTTCCTTCTCTTTGCGGTTTTGTTGTCCTGCATAGTTGGCTCCCTTAGTCGGTTCTTACGACACCCACGGGATAAATGGGGGTGGTGACAATCCGTATTCTTAATCCGTCACCACACGGACAAGGCATAGATAAATATAATTATCAACAATTTTCTTTAACAAACTCCTTTGTTAAGCCTACTAAGAATTATGACTCAACTTTTTACTGCTATGAAACAATGCGACAATTCGAAGTTAAACAATTGAATCTCTTTTAAAATTAATATATCTAAATGTTGTTGTATTTGTTTTTAGGTAATAATGTTTAGCTACTGAATTTTGTGTAATGTGGCTGCAGGCGGTAGGTATAACATACTTGTAAAGTACACAATTTCAACGAGAATTTATCCAATACAACTTATTTGGAGAGACCCTGAGAAATGCTTAGTGCTGTAAAGATGTAGTACATTACTTGATACAAAAAGAAGAAATGAAGTATTCTAGACATTTATGGTGCTCAAGAAGTATTGCGATACATTCTAACTTTTTCGAATTTAATACACCTGTGCATGAACTAAAAGGACTACCTTTTTGTAGATCTAATATGCACTTTTTACTGCTTTAATTTTATGTATTTAATTGTTTTCATTTAAATTGAGCTTTACAGCCACTGTGTAGTGTTACTCAAATAAAAAAAGTTATGTCATGAAAGAGACAAGTTATCTCTAATTGAGACGTTTTGTCTATTATCAAAAAAATAATATGTAGTTACTTATGTAATTTGTTCTATATGTTTAAGATTAGTGTGTTTGACTTGTGATTTGTTTTTGTATACTTAAATACACTTGTTTTACTTGGTAGGTGTTATATTTTATGAAATGTTGTTTGATATAATAATTAAATATTGTTCATTTACGTCATTAAATCACAAAAAAAGCGTGACTCTTTGTTTCAATGTAAAATAATGCTCATGCTCAGTAAATGGTCATGCGCAACAACTGCATTATTATTTTCTTAAAGAATTAAGAATTAACATTCATTACAAACGATATCAGTCATAAAATTCTTACTTACCAGTACCGCCCCATCCAAATTTCGCGCTTAAAAAGAAAGTGAAAAGTCCTCCTATTAGCACGAACAGAAGGCGCATTTCAGCAACATAGAAGTCCTTCGAGTGTGGGATGAACTTGGCTAGGGTACCCCAGCTGACGCCAACGACAACTCCCACCAACAGCGCTAACGCTGCCTGCAACCGTCACCTTACGTAAACTTTCAAACTAACATTACACACCAGCTATCTAAAGTTAGTTTTCCGTTACGGAGGCCTCTCGTAAGCAATTTTAGTTATCTAAGGCACATGCCTAAGACAATGACATTAAACAGTTTGGGAATATTGAGTTCAAATATTTTAGGTAGAGTAAGAGTAAGTAGTTTTCTGTCACATTGTATGTGTGTCATTCATTGTTCTGAGTGAACCAGCGTGAGTGTTCATTGGTTAGGTTTTGCACTCGGTAGATAACAATTTCATCTAATGTCAAGGTTATGTATATCTTTTAATCTATTTAAAAAATATTAAAGATTTGATGATTGATATATTTCATTATCCTAATACAATTGGCGATCAAAAACTATAGCATTATAAATATCTACCTTTATGTAACGATAAGTATCATCGCCTTCATGCATTATGAAGCTGTGTATGACGCCGAATACACCGACGCTGAGGGCTGTGTCTGTTCCACCAGCAGTTAAAATCAGTTGATTCCAGTTTTGCGATAAGTTTCCACTGCTGCCACTTGAATTTTGTACTGCAGGCATTACAACAGCAAAGGACACTGAAGCGTACGTCGATCCAAGAAGAAGACCTGTTTAAGGGAGTTGTATAGTTGTTAGATGTCATTATGGGCTGCAAATATGATTACTCCAGTAAACAAGTTTTAATATTAAACTAGCTTTCTAAGTTAAGTGATATGTTTGTCAGTTAAATCGCCTTTAGCGCTGTCACTCTGATACCCGAATGAAACAGTCATGGAAAATATATTATAGGTACGATGCATACATATTGATTATGTGTTAGAGTAAAATATTACTATATAGAAGGATAAGGACTATTTTACTAAATTTTAAACAAAGAAAAAACATATAAACATAAGCAGTCATGAAAATTATATTTATACCATATGGATAACCATGTGACCTTACATTCTCACGTTAAATAGTTTAAACGAAGTTATAAACAATGGTTTTACTATTTATAAATATTTTATTTACAGTATATATATATAATAATAATTTATTTACTTTTACAGCTATTTCAATAGATATCTATGGTATTATTATTTTAAATCTATACAAGGTGAGACCGGCTGTGATCGTAGCTAAGCGTCGCCCCGACATGCGTCGCCACTATATATTTAATTTTGACGTTGATTTACAAGTAGATAGTATATTTAGTCTTTTAATTTTACATTTTAATATAAACCTTTTTGGGAGATATCATATTAATAGTGAGATTGCATTCTGCCCGATATCGAACAGTGTCAAAAAGGTAAGAGTTTCTCATTGAACTACACCTTGACACATATCTTTTCTTTACATTGATAAGTAATTGCATGCAAACGTAAAATTTATGACGATTCGCTTTACAAACAGGTTAATAATCATGTAAATATAATTTACTTATGTAGTGGTGAAATGTTTATTATTTCAAGATTTACGTGATGCTGTGCAATCGTTATATGCAGGATCGAGTAAAGATTAAATGGCATAATTACCATTTGTATTGATAAATGCATGTGCGACACAGATAAGCTGAAAGGCGAAAGATCTTGAAATGTGGCAATTTATATACAGATTTTTTTAAATTAATGACAATGGGGTCTTAATTGTTTTAACAAGACATGAAATAAATTTAAGGTTTTAAACTCAAGTATATTAAAATATATACATTTAATTTAAAAAACACCACAAGAGCACACAGAAACTAACTTTAAATCGAAGCTTCTTGGTATTATAATGATACTACAAAAATGATTAATTAAAATCGTTTAACCACGGTCATTGCAAGAGCCGCATAAACTGACCTCCACATTAAAAGGAATAGACGTCTTTGAGATAGTAATAAACAGTAGTCTACATTGATCGGTACGATTCCATCGAACCTTTAAGACATTGAGAGAACAAGGCATTGTATGTTAAATATAATAGTAGATTTACAAATCGAATATTGATATAACTCGGTAATTGGCAGTATTATATTCCTTCCGTATACCTAATAGACAGCGTTGAAGTGACCAATGATCAAGTAGCTAACCAATAAAGAGACTTGATACTTTGATACAGCGTATTAATGTGAGTGATGACTTGACGTGACACTTTAAAAAAACGAGGAGGTTCTCAATTCGACTGTATTTTTTTTTTTTTTTTTTTTTTGTATATTTGTTACGCGATTACTCCGGCAATTATAAACCGATTTGAATAATTCTTTTTTTATTTGGTAGGTCATACGTCAGAGGTGGTCCCATTGTCACCAGGTCAGGATCTGATGATGGGATCCTGGGGAAATCGAGGGAAACCCTCAAATTTTGTAGGCATATACACTGTTTATCAGAAATTATCTTAATCTATGTAGATTTTTGCATCTAATGGTCACCATCTGATGTTGCTGAGCTGATGATGAAGCTGTTGATGAATGGTTTAGGAGTATGGAATCTCTGTAACAAAATTATGTAATACCATCGAATTTGAATGTGTTTGAGTTTAATTAATAAGAACTCCGATCCTATGTGATATTCAGGGTCTGATGATGGAGACGGTAAATAGCCATGGGAACTCTGTAATAAAATAAAGCAATTCCGCCGTGTTTGTGCTCATTTGATTCGTCTCGACTAGGAGCTTCATGCTAGTCGATTTTTAACCAACATCAAAAAAGGAGGGTTTTTGATTCGACAGCATGTTTTCTTTTTAACCGACTTCCAAAACACAAAAGAGGAGGTTCTCAATTCGTCTGTATTTTTTTTTTTTATGTATGTTTGTTACGCGATTTCTTCGTCAATTGTGGACCGATTTTCAAAATTCTTTTTGTAATCGAAAGGGTATGCTCCCGAATTGGTCCCATTACCACCAATTCAGGATCTGATAATGGGATCCTAGAGAAATCGAGTGAAACCCTCACAATTATTGGGAATTTGACAGCCCCGACAACGTGTTTTAGCTACGAGTATTTCTTTAGCCAAACAAACCATGGCAACTGTCAGAGACTGGGCGATGTGATGCGCAGAGAACTTGCAGTATTTATGTCACCACAGTAATTTTCGTTGTATTAAGAAGAAAAGGTTGAAATTTTGTATTCTATCTTGTTAAAATAATTCGGATAGACGTTTTGTTGCTATGGATGGCATCGCATTTCGTTTGGAAGTAATTTTATACTTAATTTATTAAAATAGTTCTGGAAAAAACTCTTAAATTTTGGGTGGGTCAACTAGGTTAATTTCTAACATACTAGTATTAACCCTTCTAGTTGGAACTCCTTCTATAAAATATTGAGCATATTTGTTGAGTAGTCTCACTAAAGCTTCCCTATCTTTACCTTCGAGATCAGTGTCAATTGAATCGGAAGTTATTTTGTTCGGTTGCAACTCACAAGAATTTGACTGTTTCTTAGAAAAGAACTTAAGCTGATCTTGATCAGTTTGGACGCCAATGTCATTTTCATATCCTACACTAAAAATGGTAAAATAAACCCTTTTTAAAAAAAAGTTGAACCGACTTCAAAAAACACCGACAAAGAGCACTAAAAATTAAAAAATAATTACAAATCTAAGTAAAAAACTATAATAAGTACCCTCAATGTAACAGGTAACATTATAATACCAATAGTCCCTTCTAGTCTGTTTGAAGTCGGTGCCAAGCTCGATGCACAATAAGTAATACTGGTCTATGTCAGCTTTATATTAGCACAATGAAAAATTAAGAATTCAAAATAATTCTAATGAAACATCGAAGATTTTGTTAATTAATAAAGACCAACCAGATCAATTACGTGCGCAAACTTATCAACTACTTATTAAAGAATTCAAAATAATAATATAATTGGAGATGTGCGTCCACTTTAGCTCGTTCATCATGTTTTGCGCAGCATGAAGACTGTTGCAGCTGCCGCGCTACATTCTACCATGCCTATCAAGCACCTATTTGGCTTGGCACCGACTTCAAACAGACTAGAAGGGACTATTGGTATTATAATGTTACCTGTTACATTGAGGGTACTTATTATAGTTTTTTACTTAGATTTGTAATTATTTTTTAATTTTTAGTGCTCTTTGTCGGTGTTTTTTGAAGTCGGTTCAACTTTTTTTTTAAAAAGGGTTTATTTTACCATTTTTAGTGTAGGATATGAAAATGACATTGGCGTCCAAACTGATCAAGATCAGCTTAAGTTCTTTTCTAAGAAACAGTCAAATTCTTGTGAGTTGCAACCGAACAAAATAACTTCCGATTCAATTGACACTGATCTCGAAGGTGAAGATAGGGAAGCTTTAGTGAGACTACTCAACAAATATGCTCAATATTTTATAGAAGGAGTTCCAACTAGAAGGGTTAATACTAGTATGTTAGAAATTAACCTAGTTGACCCACCCAAAATTTAAGAGTTTTTTCCAGAACTATTTTAATAAATTAAGTATAAAATTACTTCCAAACGAAATGCGATGCCATCCATAGCAACAAAACGTCTATCCGAATTATTTTAACAAGATAGAATACAAAATTTCAACCTTTTCTTCTTAATACAACGAAAATTACTGTGGTGACATAAATACTGCAAGTTCTCTGCGCATCACATCGCCCAGTCTCTGACAGTTGCCATGGTTTGTTTGGCTAAAGAAATACTCGTAGCTAAAACACGTTGTCGGGGCTGTCAAATTCCCAATAATTGTGAGGGTTTCACTCGATTTCTCTAGGACCCCATTATCAGATCCTGAATTGGTGGTAATGGGACCAATTCGGGAGCATACCCTTTCGATTACAAAAAGAATTTTGAAAATCGGTCCACAATTGACGAAGAAATCGCGTAACAAACATACATAAAAAAAAAATACAGACGAATTGAGAACCTCCTCTTTTGTGTTTTGGAAGTCGGTTAAAAAGAAAACATGCTGTCGAATCAAAAACCCTCCTTTTTTGATGTTGGTTAAAAATCGACTAGCATGAAGCTCCTAGTCGAGACGAATCAACTGAGCACAAACACGGCGGAATTGCTTTATTTTATTACAGAGTTCCCATGGCTATTTACCGTCTCCATCATCAGACCCTGAATATCACATAGGATCGGAGTTCTTATTAATTAAACTCAAACACATTCAAATTCGATGGTATTACATAATTTTGTTACAGAGATCCCATACTCCTAAACCATTCATCAACAGCTTCATCATCAGCTCAGCAACATCAGATGGTGACCATTAGATGCAAAAATCTACATAGATTAAGATAATTTCTGATAAACAGTGTATATGCCTACAAAATTTGAGGGTTTCCCTCGATTTCCCCAGGATCCCATCATCAGATCCTGACCTGGTGACAATGGGACCACCTCTGACGTATGACCTACCAAATAAAAAAAGAATTATTCAAATCGGTTTATAATTGCCGGAGTAATCGCGTAACAAATATACAAAAAAAAAAAAAAAAAAATACAGTCGAATTGAGAACCTCCTCCTTTTTTTGAAGTCGGTTAAAAATAGAACCGTTTCATTGTTTCTATTAAAGACTATTGAGAGATGAAATCACGAACGGTTCATATTTGATTGCATTCTTAAATTTTATTTCATTTGTTTTACTTGTGAACGGTATGATTGATGTGTTTTTGTTGATATTAACATTATATACCCACTGAACACATAACACACCAAAAGACTAACTACATGAAATAATATATATACGATAAAATGTTATGATATTTAAAAAATATTTACATTTTAAAAGGAATGGGTCTTTACTATTTCTCAAGAAGTTGTGTTTCAAAAATAGTCAATTCTACACATTTTATACATATAGTAAGGTACATCAAAAAGTATCTTAAGTTCTTAATTTACGATTTTACTTTTTAGGTAGATACTATTTATGTAGAGTATTGTAAAGCAATAAATACAGGCAATTCTGAATTTTACAGTAAAGTAAGTTTGAAACAGTATTCGTATTCGACAAATTATTCTGGCAGACAAAATCTGTAGGAGAAATAACTTCATATGTTTCGAAACTGTATTAAAACATGTCCATTTCTATAAGGCTTTGTTCTTAGTAGTCAATAGAATTTCCTGAGATCATTGGGGAATTCCCTTTCCGAGTCATTTTCTGTGTTTATAGGTTACGGTAAACACTTATCTTGAGATGAGCTTTGAGGTTATTTGTGAGAAACCCTTATATTCCTACCATTTTTCATAATTTTGTGTAACTAAAATATCTGTTTAAATTATAAGATTGATAAATAATATAAACCATAATTACCCCACATCCAAGGGAAGTCGAGGAATACATGCATGCACACAGCCAGAGTGAGTACCTCTGCAGTCCACGGCAAGACGCCCAGGGAAGACACCAACCTCCAGTTCTTCTTAATGTATTTAAAATCGAATGCCAAAGATCCTTTGCCCAGAATTATAACTGGGTATATTCTCCTACAAATCAATAATGTTAAGAGAAATAAGCCAATGTTTTTTTTTTAGAGAAATTTGCAAAAGATGATTAGAAAACTCTTTTGTTATCTTCTTTAGAATTAAAATAACTGAGAGGTTATATTCGTTGTATTCCGACCATACTTTTAAATTTATAGATTTACTTGAGTGTTCTCTGATCGAAAACCGTCGTTAGTCTTTAGACAGTCACGATTAAAAGCAAAAAAGTCTTTACATTTTAAAACAAGAGAAGCATATAAGGACAAATATTGTTTCTTTTTGATTATTATTGAAAAAATGTTCTGTGTCTGCAAGTAATTTATCTATAATATGTATGTATTTAGAAATATATAAGTATGTTCATCAGCAGTCTGGTTACCATAGTACAGGCTCTGCCTAGTTTGGGATCAGACGGCCGTGTATGTATTGTGTGAAGTTATTATTATTATTATTTTAAAGCGATATTTATTAAGTTAAAAACTGAAGTGTTAATAGATGAGAAACCTTATAAACGATAAGGGTGTTACCTTTTTCTAAAACTTTTAATTTAACATAAAATAAATAAATAATATTTTTACCTTAAAAATGCATCAATTTCTGTATATTCTCGCATATCAAGAAACTCGAAGTTTCTTGCTAAAATACCAATAACTAGTGCTGCTAAGAGAGGTGGCAAAGATGTACACATTTGAAATGCTTCGCCGGCGGCCCAAGCTAAGCCTCCAACAAAGGCTAATTTTGTCCAGCGACCGTTCCAATTCCAATCTTCTCCGAAAGCGCACCATAGCAGACCCCATGTTCCAAGTCCTGTTAGTAGTTGTGGATATTTTAACTGTCTTGATAACAATTTGATGATTTTTTTATTAAATTTAAGAATGCAACTAGAACTCCTTACTTCAAATTTAATTCAATAACTCGAAAGTATAATATGTATAATCATAGTTGGTATGATATTCATAAGTACCAATTGTTGTCGATCGCATGATTCTTAGAAAATATTTAAATCTATTAAAAGGCGGCACAAATTAAAACTCACCCAGTACTAATAATGTGAAGTAGTGCAGGATCGTTGGCGTCTTAGCCCTGCAGATGTCCTTGGTTTTCTTTACAATACTGTCTTTAATCGGATTCTTTCCTGGATTATAATTGAGTGTAATTTCGGGTGTTCTGAAACAGCGAACGTCTGACCGTTAATTAAGCACGAACATTGATAGTTTCAATTAAAATGATTGCGGGACATACTACTAACTCTTGTCCTTTCATTATTATATTTTGTCGCCTAACGGCTCTTGCTAACAGAGAATCGTCTTCGTTCATGCTATGAAATCATATCTTAAACTGCGAATGGGTAAGGCTTGTGGCTAATAAAAAGTACTTACTTACGTTTTGAATTCTTCGTTGCGAATGATATAGACACCCTTATCTAAGATAGACGTTCCGTTTTTATCTGAAAATAAAAAAAGTCATGTATTCCGAAGATCAAATTTTGCTTATTTAAGGCTTTAGTTGTGCTGCTGGTTTAAGAACAACTGCTACTGTGGTATGCCAAAATACAGGAACTCTCTTTTTTATTTTTTCAATTTGATCTATGTAATTATTAGAATGATGTCTTATATAATATTTTATTAATTACTTCTGAAGTCTACACGCACTGTGTCATGTGCGCCTACAAGTGATGCAGAAAGTCAAATACAATAGTTTAATTAAACAACTATATTTGATTAAAATTATGTCAACAAAACTGAAGTTATACTTCATTGTTAAGATTAGAGGTATATGTACTTATGTACATATATTGTAGTGAAGTAAATAGTACTTTACATGTTTTAAAGTGTGAATAACATTCATACTTATTTGGAGTATAAAACGTTGCCCAATACTTTAACGTCAAGACTGATGAGCGATAGCTTTTTGCACTTGTACCATTAAAGTTGAATGCCAAGAATTTGTTTATCGATTAAATAAATAAGTAACTAATGTAAGTACTGATACAAAAATATTGAAGACAGTGCGATGTACATCTAAATTATAGATACAGATCCTATAGTTTTCTATGCTTACGGTGAACTAATATGTGTTGTCTTAAAATTTGGCAGACAGATTTCAGTAGATTTGCAGGGATGTGATAAGGATATATTAGAATTCCTTTTACCTAGTTTGTTTTATAGTTTGTGGGGACAAACGGGCAGACAGGTCACCTGATCACATAGTAAGCTGATGAGTTCACGTCGTAATATAGCATATTGATACTGTTTGGGTGTAGAGTGACGTCACAAATACTGTTACTTTGCATTGCGGTTGTTACGGATGCAAAAATTTCGACATCTGCGGACGCCGATACGGACTGTTAGAGAGCTACAGGTTTTTTTTAATATTTCATTTTTTACTACGCCGGACAGTACGTCACGCTGTTACGAAACGTCAAATTTCCTCAATTGAAATTAAACTCTGCGTTCGAAATGTAGTAGATTTTTTTTTAATCCTTTAACCCCTCTTTAACCTTTTCTGACCCCACCCACTTTCTTTACACGTCATTACTTGTCGCAGTTATGAATCCGCATTTGTTAAAGGTCTGCATTAATTTGTTGCGGATGCGATGTCTAAATTAATGCGAATATTACGCATTTGCGGATGCGGATGCGAATATCCATAACACCTCTACTTTGTATCACGAAAAGGCTAATATTTCAGTCTCAGAGGTATATAAAAAAAAATTACTCAACATAAATTTCTTTTGGCATAAATATTGGCTAAACCTCCTTTCTAAGGAGACGCCTATGTCCAGCAGTGGACTATTAGAGGCTGTTGATGTGTGTGTGTGTGTATGTGATTAACTAATTGGTGCTTAAAACAAAAAAAGAACAAGAGAAATTGCTCACAACAAATTACGCTATAACGTTTATAGGTACAAAAAATATAATATCGATATCTGTTTAATGTTCCGTCGATATACATAAATTGGATAGAAGGTCCGTGATTGTCAATATTGTTCGCATCCATTAAGACGCACAACGAGAGCATTGATTGACTCTATCTGTAATCATCAACTACATTTATATTGACCTATTGAGCGACATTTCTTTAAAGTAAACAACCGAGTATAACTAAAAATAGTGATGCGATGACTATTTTTAGTACATACATATTTTTTTTGTTATTTCTTTTTATACCTTACTAGTTGACCCGGCAAACGTTATTTTGCCATATAATATATATATATATATATATATATATATTATATGGCAAAATAACGTTCTATTGCGGATCTGTGGATGGAACAGAATAATATAAAAATCGCGATTAAAAAACAGGGGTTGATCGTAGAAGGGTGAAACTTTGTAGTTGTATGTATTGTTCAATGCTAAATCACAATAATATAAAATTAAAAAAAATGACAAAAAATTAAAACCAGAAATTTATGGTCACCCTAATCATTTAGGAGTATGAAAAATAGATGTTGGCCGATTCTCAGACCTACCCGATATGCACACAAAATTTCATAAAAATCGGTAAAGCCGTTTCGGAGGAGTTTGGTAACAAACACCGAGACACGAGAATTTTAAATATTAAAAAGATGTATGTTGATGGTATTCCAATAAGTATAATAACATTTTATAAAATGAATACTTAAAATGCCAGAATAAAGTTATACGTAGTTAGTTTTTCCAATACCTTTCTGTTTGAGTACATTGCTTTGATAATACAGGTTTTGAACAAGTTGTACATTTCGATACTTCAACAGGTTCATAGACCATAAAGTAGATATCATATTAATTTATATGAATGAATAATTATTTCTAATTTGACTAAACACAAATCTCAAGGAAATCAAATGTGTATTTAAAACAATGCTTGTTCTTTCTTCTTTGTGAGAAAATATAATTTAAGTGTTGATATTTAAAATGAATAATATCTACAAATAAGTTGCAATTCATGTAACAAATTAAAAAATAACTATCTAGTACAAGATTGATGGCAAGCATTAGCATTTCTTACTTGTGCTATTATATCTATTGTACTACTTGTTGGCGAGTTGCCGTTTGTTATAATAAAATATGTAATATGTACTTCATACTTTCTTGGCTGCAAATCAGTTCTTCATTATTACTATAAAAATTATCATCATGACAGAGTTTTTAGAATTAAATAATTATCTAGATCTCATATTTTGTGCTTAAGTATTACTTTGCAAACAGGCGTTTTCACGTGTTTGAGAATACGTCAGTGAGTTATATTGTACCTGTATATTAGAAACTGATTCTTTTTGGGCTAATATGTTCTCATTGTGGTGACATTATTTTACTGTGCAGATAGCTCTTATTTTTTCTTACACCTAGGGTACTCTAATATTAATAAGCTGGTAAGCTCACGTTAACCAAAAAAGATGTGTCTCTAACTAGAAGAGGTGATTGTAAATTAATACTAATTAATTCTTCCTAAAAGGCCGGCAACGCGTATGTGGCTCCTGAGTTGCAGAGGTTCATGGGCGGCTATGGTCACTTTCCATCAGGTGACCGTGCTCGTCTGCCCCTCTAACTTAAAACAAAAAAAAAATAGTGGTATACACGAGATGAGAAACCCAAATCTAAACGGATGCAACGGATATTTTATTGACTGCACGGATGGCGTAGTGGTTTAAGCGGTCACCTCGCCGCTTCGCAGAGTGTTGTGGGTTCAAACCCCACATGGGACAACACTTTGTGTGATCCACAAATTGTTGTTCTGAGTCTGGGTGTTCTTTGTGTCCGTTTCATGTATGTTTGTAAAGTCCCCCGCGACACAGGAATGTATTACTAAGCTTCTGGGGAGCTGTCTTTAAAAAAAAAAAAAAAAAAATTATGATGACTTTATTTAAACTATTAAGGGTTAAATAACAATATTTAAAATATAAAATATTAGTTTAATTATTTTTGTTTATCAGTTCTTTAGAATAAAATCTCTCGCATATATGATTAGGATTAGTAATATAAGTTTATTTTTCATATTTTGATTTAAGCGGTCTAATAATGTGCGAAAAGATGAATATGGATGGTAATTGGTCAATCATTATTGAGCAGATATGATAATTTGTTTGTATTATTTTTTATATTCCGGTGTATCTCTATCTCTGTTACCTTTATCAGTCACCCATGGGCAGTGTGAATGTCAAACTAAAATTTAGACATATATAGGGTAATATGATATATAAGGTATGTATTTTACATGGTACCTATTGATACAACCTACGAGCTATGCTATTCCAAACGTCTGAAACATTGAGTCAAACTCATACATGTGTTTGAACTTCCAAATCTACTACGGAAAGTAAGAGGCGAAGTTGTAAGAGTTCTAGTTTTTTTTTCATTAAATCTAAGTGAGTACTCTATTGTTGAATAAATACTTATGAAGGCGATTTACATTGTAAATCTTTTCGATTGAATAAAGCTGCAGCGACGTGTCAATGACGATTAATTTAGCGTGCAAAAACCGTCAACATAGTATGTAAAAAAACTGATATTGGTAACAGCAAAAGCGTGACGAAATGTGTACTTTTTATGCATAGTGTATTATCAACAGTACAATATTGTGGTAAATACTGTTATAAAACTTCAAAGAAGGTGTGTTTACCGTAAAGATACAACTACTTTTATTCAAAGTATATTTTATTATTCTTATCTGATTGTTTACTTAGGTTTACAAAAATGTCTGCATAGGTTTTATGCAAACTGTCGAGCTTTTAGAGGTAAAGTTGGAACCTATACGTTTCTGAAAATTTCATCAATAATGTTTGAGATCGGATTTCAATTCCTTACTTGTTAGAAAAGGTTACTTTTAAGGGGTATTATGTAGATCGATTAAAGCATGTTTTCGAGCAACTATTGCGATTATACGTTTTTAAAGTAATATAACATGTTAACTGAAAAAATATGTAACACATGTTTTTGGTTCAATATGTAATATTTAACTAAATAAAAAATAATATGGAAATATTTGAACTAGTATTTTATTGCGATGTTTCATCTATTGTTAATATACAAAGTACGTAATGGCCTTAGTTCATCTCGGTCTGCTAAAGACTAGTTCCAATTAAAATGATGACTTGTATAAATAGCTTAGAACTGAATTTATGTTAATACATTAATCACACAAATACTTCAGTCTATTACTAACAATTAAGACAACAATTAAGACAGTTGAGAAACACAGATGAAATAGTACGTTAAATGCTTCTTTTTAGTTGTTTTAATTTGTCTTTGAAAATATACTGCAATAATTAATTTATTTATATGTTATTATACTTAATCATTAACTCTGTATCTATATCGCAAACAAATGTGAACCACTTATATTATTATTTTTTAATTTGTAAACCTTTATCTGTCCGTGTAGCACACATGCCATTGTGACTGTCCTGAACCTTGCTTGAAGCGAATGGGCTCAGCCACAGGCTTTAGCGTTGAACTGAAACATTGTTTCATTTTTTGCGTGATAACGGTGACTCATAATTGATCCTATATTTAATTTGTCATATCTATAAAAGTTTAAAATTAATGAATTTATTAGCGATTATCACCTTCCCCTGCTTTAGTACAAAACGTCGCCATTTTGATATCACGACTTTAAGTTATATATAACCTTTATAAATATTTAAAGTGGGGGGATTTACAAGACAGAACATTTAATTGTACTAATAAGTCCAATGCCCTTAGTTTTTCAGCAGGTACGTATTGCCCTTGTCACCTCATAAAGAACATGTCGATAGCCCCTGATTTTAAGATTGATTATTATCTGTATTTTAATCGATTACTGTTGAGTAACTGATCTGTATTATTTTAACCTTCATAATATTGATTGTGAGAACTGTCTTTGAGAAACCTGTCATTATTGTGATAGTTATTTATGTAATTTTAATTTTTTTAACGATTTAAAGACGGTTATGGGAAGATAATGGCTAATTACATCACTGTTCTTAATCAGCATATTCATTGTAGCTCGCGTCTTCATTGCAGATCACAGTTAGAATTAAAGTCACAGTTAGAATTAGACTTAAAGTCTTTTTAAATCAATACAACGGTGTCTCTGAACCTGAGAGGCAGAGAAAAATATTTTGGATGGCTTGAAGGTACAATATATATATATATATTTATACGTACGTATTTTTAAGCTATTTCATCCGAGAATATAATAATAATAACAATGTAAACAAAAAATGAAATTGTTTATTATTGGTTGTCTTTTAATTGTTTATTTTTACAAGTTTGCTGTTATCTAGAAAAAAGAGAAGAATAGAGATATGCGATATCCTGCCCCAGTTAGTGCTAATGTTCTCCCATCCACCCCCTATCCTATTATCTATCTAAAAAACATTTGATATAATGTAATTTTATAAGTAAAAGATAACATTACAATTATATATTATATATATTATAATTCAATTTACATACAACAAGTATATAACAACAAGTATGAACTAGGTGATGTAATGTTTTCTGTTTCTTAAACTCCGGGTATCCTAAATCTACAAAAGAACACAAGTAGCAAATACCAGATTAGTTAGTTTCAGTAAAATTTGTTCGCGATTTTGATGATAATTCTTCAGAAAACAAATGAAGCTAAGTAAATTTTGTTCAGTAAATCCAGACTACAAATCTACCGCATTCAACTCCATAATTTTTCAAACGTTATCAAATGTTTGATAAATTAATCTTTTATTTACACTTTTATTAAAAATAAAATAAAATTTCATATTCTAACATTTACTCGTACATATAAAAAGTTTTTTTTTCTTTAATGATTCAATTTCCAGAAAAGTCCATTATAATTAGATTTGGTTTTGATTCTATAAGAGAAATCTTGGGAAAGGTTTAGTATATTTAACAGTACATTTAAACGGGTATGAAAACTACAGGAACAATAATTATTTTTTTTTAATAAATTTACGACGAAATCTAAGTAGGTATAGCAGTCTTGGTATTTTATTGATGCTTCGCTATTTGTAAATATTCATCAAATTTAATCCAATAACACTATTACATATTAAAAAAAAATATTTGACTGTTTTTGCTAATATCGCAAATAGTGTTCCAGGTGTTTGTAATATAACTGTAGTAAAGATAACGTATGGGGACCGTTGTCGCGTCGTTATACGAGTACGTGTACGTAAACAATACGAATTTGTTCATGCATATCGTCTAAGTATAAAAATCTCACACAATGATCTGTTAGCTAATCGCAATAGGTTCTAAAATATCACCTATATACTAAGAACATTGTTTTTGTCCTCTGGCAGAAAACTATAGACAATTTAATGAAGGCAACTGACACCAATATTGTAATTGGTTGTTAATAAACCTTATCGTAAGTGCTTCTTGGAAACTTGATTTGACAGTGATATAGTTGACTATATTAAACTACAATTATATTCTTAGATGTTAAAAGAATTTGTAATTAGTTACGCTAACTCAATACCTTTTTTTAGGAGTTAGTGCATGCCACGATTGAGTTCATTACCAGGTCATGGTCAGTCAAGCACTATAAAGCATCGTTTTTTATCTTAGTTTAGGCTTCTTCTTTTTAAGTCACCAAATACTTAATCGTACGCAACGGAATATTAATCACAGATAAATGTAGAAATGCTAGTAACAAAATCTCTACATACTCACGACAGCTGATGCATATCAGAAACACGGAAAAGGATTGGAGCAATGACTTTTCCTTCTTAAATTTAAGTCTTTCCTTTCGGGAAACACTTTGAAAATATGAATGAGATACTTTTGGCAGCGCAAATATCGCTGCCTTGATATGGACCTCGAGAACGCAAGGGTGATACGTACAATTACTTTGACGTAGATATTGAGATCATTTAAAAGACATGTGTACTGAAATAATAACTAACATCATATTATAAAATTATTAATTTTTAAAAAGTCTACCAGTGTAGAAATGTACATTGAAAAATTGTGAGATTTTGTTATTATTCTAATATCCAAATTTTTGAAGGCCATCAGAACTCCAGATAAAAGACAAATAATTATTTCACGGCAATTGATAAATCATTCATAAATATCGTAACACACTTACAATCATAACAATATTTACGGATGCCATCAAAATATAAAATTCTTATGAATTTGAAAATGTTGTAAAAGCTATTATGATTTAAAAGTAAAACAAATAGTGAAATAAAATAACTTACATTCCATTTTAGAAGACAGAAAGCAGTTGCTTAATATATAATGAATTCACGGTAGACAACGGTGGTCAAGAACATGGTTGATGAGGTATTAGCTGAATGAAGCACGCCGGTCTGAGGCGAGTGACGAGCGTGGAACCGCCTGAGCTCACGTCACGGCGACAATCAATAAATACCCATTATTATCATTTGGATACGTCATTTTACTTCTTAATCAAGATTGCTATTGATATTTTAAACCTTGCTGATTATGAGTAAAAATAACTGTATCAATCACTAAGTTGTACTTCGTGTGAAAGCTAAAACCGTAATGTGGATGTAAGATGTTGGCAAGACGGAAGTTACTGAGTCGCGGTCGAGACCAGCGCTTGAACAGCAGCGCTACCGCACCATCTTCGGTTTAAATAAGAACCATGTTTGGAGATACGTTGTTAGACTTATTAATCGTGTATAAATATCACATGATCTTATTTTTACAGAACTTTTAAGTCTTGCATACATACAGAACGTGCATTATTTTTATCCCAACATTGAAGTATTTTTTTATAATTACCTACAACTAAAAAGATTTCCAATAAAGCACTTTGTTATTTCGCTCACGAATCTAGGTAAACGAGCATATGACAATGTAGACTAGTGTAGCTGTTTACTGGTATAATTTTAAACTTTGACATCTTGGACACATCGCTAGTGTAGCCTAAATACTATTTTATTTAACCTTTTTACATTTTGATAGTCGTTACTATGCTACTCGTACTTCAAACCTGGTGGAGAAAATGTTTGACTATTCATAAATTATAATAAGTAATTAAATATATATCTATTGCATTTACCTTCGTTTATTTATTTTTTTGTTACCTGATGGTAAGTCATTTCCCCCGACCATGGGCACCTGGAATTCAAGAGATACAAGTGCATTGCCGCTTCTTGAATATACTCCTGTGATTTCGGTAACCTCACTAACTCAGGGAAAAATAACGAAATAACTCCTGACCACTGGTTTTCTGCAAGGTCATAACATCACTGCGGTCTAGCTGGCCCATATTGTTATGTGCTGAATTATCGCTCTCCCATGGCTGAAATGTTAATTGTAATGTTCTGTAGGCATGGGGATACGGTTTATTGAATACTATTAAAAGATTTAATTGTGAAAATGAAGTAGTATTCAATATTTATTAATTTACACTTTTTGTAAACACATAACATAAGGTCTGTTAAGACCTTATGTTATGTGTTTGCAAAAAGTGTTTTTACAAAAACTTACACAAGGTAACCTTAAGCATTTTCTTCCATTCAAGTTTTGGATAATGCGGAGCTGTGTGGTTCAATTGTATGTCTCAATTAATTAGATAAATGACTAAATAAAAATCTGTTAAAACTATCCCACATAGATGTACTAGGTATACATCATTTACACTTCCTATTTTATATTATAAATATGAAAATTTATACGTACATACATACATAAATAATAATGACACTCACAAAGCATTATCCTGATATGACTTCGTCAAGAAGTAATGTTAATTAGGAAATTACTTTTAATCGTGAAAGGACTTGTATTGTGTCTGTTGATTAAACAAAAGATCTACAATCGAAGACTAAAACATCTATCGTCACGCAAGTCATGCTAGTAATAACTAGGTTGGAACTGTTTATTACATAAATAGATTCTTTCATAATGCCTTATCAGTTTCTACGATACATGCTAGTTACAACTGAAGCTAACCTGCATAATTGTTGGTATAATTAAGTTTCAAGGTTAGTTGTGCATTGAATTCGCAATGAGGTTGAATTTATATTTAAATCAAATTTATTTGTTTGTTATTGTTGTGTATGTGTGAAAATGAACCAAGTATATATTGCTTAGAAATTCGTTTCAAATGTTTTTTTATTTTATATTTATATTTATTTATTTGATAGGCTTCTAGCTTACTAGATTGAGGCCCGTATTTTGAAAGGTGTCTCAGTCGTGAATCTAGTCTTAAAACTAATTTTAAATATTATTAAATTTTATTATTAAATGTCACTTAAAACGAGATTCACCGATCCATACTTAATTGAGTGATAGCTTATTTTAGAACGATGTTTGTGTGATCGTGGTGTGATCATTGGTTACGTGAGACAAGCCGAAACTATTCTCAAGCAGTGATGTGACTACTAAAGTTATAGGTTTCAGTGGCAAATGAATGTGTTTTACGATTTGTTTCTGGACAGTTACGAAAGATTTTTTAACTATGATATTCCAAATATTCCACGCAGATATTTACGCGATGCGCTGGACCCATACGCATTAGATACAGATTTCATCAAGAAACTGTGAAAAATTATATCTGACCAAGAATTGCAGGTGATCTGGTAAAATTCAATAAAAGAGGGCTACCATTAGCCCCAGAACTGCAGATTTTAATATATCTGAGGTTCTATGCCTCAGCCTCATTCCAGGTAAACCAGTACTGTGATGTTAGTTTAATAAGAAACAAATTTTTATTCATAATAGTTTTGTTTGATATTATTAAAATTATTTAATTTTCAGATAGTTTGTGTTGATGTGTCACAGCCAGCAGTCTCAAATGTAATAGCCAAAATTTCTTTGTTACTGGCACAAAAACATCATCAATTTATAAAATATCCCACAAACAGTGCAGAAAAGATTGCTCAAAGAGGAGCTTTCACCTGCCTTGGGCAGTAAAATCACCACTCTGGTCTGTGAAACATAGATGGTGCAATTGATTGCACTCATATTAAAATAGTAGACTATCCAGGTGTCCAACATCATGGGGGGGTCGTCTACTCGTCTGTAGATGACCCGAGGTATGTCGTGGCACCAGGGTCTTCCTTTCTAGGGTATACCTGGTTCCCCGGCTATTAGTACCCGAGACGGCGTGCGGTTTTAGTCGGTTCGAGTCCGACATGCCACCGGTGGTATCCGAGGGGATTTCCGCACGAAAAAAAAAAAAAAAAAAAAAGGTGTCCAACATCATGAAGTTTGAGGCAGGTAACAAGATTGTTAATGAGTTTACATTGCTACACTTGCCAATAGTAGGTATAATGCATTAAAATTCACAGTAATTATGTGTGTCTATAATAATAATGTAATAATCTCAATTATTATTTTTAAGCTAACTGCGTGGTACGGAATAAAAAGTTCCATCATGTGGAAATGTAATTGAGAACAGACTGTAAGTTCAAATCAATTCTTGAAACTAGTTTTAACTGAGTAAAACTTAAAACGCGTTCTATAGTAAGATCGATACTTAAGTTTTGATCTCCATTTAAAACTAGTTTCAGGCAATCAGAGTTTAACCGATACTTGAGACGTCTTTAACGGGCCTTAAACTACTATAAACTAGAACTTAGTGATCTGCCAGGAGAAGGTAAATGTGATTAAATCTTTTTAGTTAAATAATCTATCAATGCGGTTAAACTATAATTTATTTATGTGGAACAGTTTGATATAAATGTTCAATACACCCAAAGTGTTTTTATTAACTTTGATAAAAGTTTTACGCGTGCGAATGAGTCTCTTGCCATTTATTTCCTTCTTTCATGTTAATTTCTTTTAGGAAATCGAACATAGTAAGCTTTTGATAGCACTAGAATTTTTCCAATACTAAGAAACCTCCGTTAAAGTAATAATGTCAGGATCACTATCCTGACATTATTACTTTAACGTAGGTTTCTTAGTACTGGACCAGCCACAACACTTTGTGGCTGTGAGCAGGTGAAGTCACTGGCCGTGAAAAACAATCTTGCATGTTAATTTTTATTCATTTAAGTAAAATTTTGTTTGTTGGTATTTTCTTTAATAAGACTTGCATGACTACTTGTTGTAAAAGTGTAAAATTGTTGAAGTAATGCCAATGGCGACGATATTAATAATGATAATCGAGTAATGAGTCGATATTGAATTCTGATTTAATGATTCGTCTCTTACTTTAATTGAGTTCAACATAAAATTTAACAGGCTACTCCTAATAAATCAAAAAAGTGAAAATTTACTAAGTGTCAATTAAATGTTAGTCAATAAATAATATAGACAGAGTAACAAAAAGAGACAGCATGGAAATATAATAAAATACCTAAGCAGTAAAAATTGCTGCATTTCTGGGAAAAAAAAATACATGACGGGGGAGTCACGAGTCATTGGTAAAACTACAAAAAGGATGACATAATTATGTTCATAAATCATTATTATCATCAGTCATGATAATCCATGACTGAAACAACATAGTAGGTAGTAATTGTGAACACCGCAGAAGAACAATGAATTCATGTACGTGTGTGTACGGGTATTAATAATGTTATTTTCTTTTGCTTACAATAATTGTAACAGAAATAACTACTTCAAGATTTTTAGTAGTATATTTATGTGCCTACTTATAATTAGAAACAACATTATGTAATAGAGTTTTGCAATCGGCATTTTCTATGTCTTTTCTTAGATCGTTAAACTAGCGAAAATATAATTAGGTAAATATTGTGTGTTTGAGTACTCATCATCATCAATCATCATCAACAGCCTTTAATAGTTCTCTGCTGGACATATGGCTCTCCTTAGAAAGGAAGTTTTGGCCTACTATACCTTGCTGGCCAGACGGGGTGGTATAGGTTTTGTTTCAAGTTTTCCTTCTCTTCGCAGTGATATTGTCCTACGTAGTTTGCTCTCTTAGGCGGCTCTTACGACACTCACAGGATAAATAGAGGTGGTGACACTCTGTATTCTTAATCCGTCATCACACGGATTTCCGTCACCACACAGATTAGTTTGAGTACTAGTGTTACGCATCACAACGTTTTCTGTACTTAATAGTTATTTACTGAAGAAACCTCACACTCAGCATCACACTGTTACTGTACTTACCAGTGACAGTTCTTATGACAAATTCTGAGATTAACTTCTTTAGGTATCAATATTAGCCCTCTACTATGGGCGCCGATGTGCGTCAAGCGCCTATCGGCCTCCTAACGCTGTCGAGCTAAGCTTCGCAAGCGCAGCGGGTAGCCGCC